AAAATAAGATTAAAGAAAAACAACTTTGAAGAAATGAATAAGGCTATACATTAGGATTTATAATAAGAACTATAAAATATGAAATAAGTATTATGTGTAGTAATAAAATGATTTATAAAAAATCAGAATTTATACAAGATAGGATTTGTTGTATAGATACTAAAATACCAGGAAATTGGGGATGCTATGATTATAAACGAAAAATAAAAATAAAACTCAAGAAATATAAAAAATATAATAAGTTTAAAAAGAAATATTTTAAAACAAAATATAAATCTTATAATAAAAAACCTTTAGATAAAAAATAATGTAAATGTTGGAATTGTAATGAAAAATGACATATAAGTACCGAATATCCAAAAAAGAAAGTTAAGATATTAATTACAGATTTTGATCAAATTAGAGATGATTGCGAAGAAGTTAATTTTGAAGAAATAGAAACTGATGAAGAAATTTTTGAAGAAAAATTAGAATCAGAAGAGATATCTAGTGAATACGAATACAAAAATAAAGGAAATATAAAATAAAAACTAATTTTTAAAAACTATTCACAAAATAGAGATATATTTTGCAATAAAGTTCATTTCATTAAGGGTAAAATTGACATTTTACGTTTTTATGAAAAAATTGGTTGACCAAGGGGTAATTTGAAAAATCTCCCTAGATTAGTCCTCTTAGAGCTTGTTTGGAAGGGATTAAAATCAGATTAAAATTGAAAATATGATCGTTATTGTTGACTTTTATTAGACGAGTGGGATCCAATAACGATCGTATTTTCAATTTTAATTGAATTTTAATCCATTCAGAACGAGACCTTAATTTGAAAGTGGAAAGTCAACACTGACCTCTCCGCCCGAAAAACTCGCAACTGTTTAAATAGAGGCACAAAGACCCCAACCCTCCACTACCCAACCACATAATTGAATTGACCAAAATGACCAATACTTTCATTGTCATCCAATATTATTGAGGTTAATGTGGTAATTTTGTCGGGGAAGTCTGACTTGGTCGGCTAAGGTTTCGCTGACCCCCGATCTGGACTTTCCTTCTAGACTATTGACTAAATCAAAGAAGTGAAAATATCTACTCCCTTGTTTGTTTTGACTTTATTTTTTTCAAAATTCATTTTCAATCATATTTTCTCATACAATAATGTTACAAATAAATTGAAATTTTTTTCTTATTTTTAATCTTATATATTTTCAAAAATCATTATTTCAAAATATATTTTCCTAAAAAAAATCTTATTTTAATGGATCTTAATTCTCCGTTGGACCTTAATTTTTTATAACATAATTTATAGGATTGGTATTTTTTTATGAACTTTTCAATTGCTGACGTTTAGTCAAACCAAAGGGTCTTGACCGTTCAATACATAGAAACAAAACTGCAATATATTTTTGTATTCCTCTTTCTTTTATGTTTTAGGAAGTGGGCAGATTATTTTTAAATTCTGAAGTCTCGTACTTCTGGTAATTTTTTAGAATTTGTTTCTTTTAGCTTTAAATTATTTTTTGTGTGCCACGAAATTGGTAGTGTCAATTCCTACTAATTCAGCTGGTTCTGGTTGAAGCTCAAAATAGAGATGTCTAGGAATTACGACAACTGGGAAAGGCTGGTGGATGCAGTGTTGCGGCGAGAAAAGGATTGGCAAATTGCTCATGATCACTCGAGGAGCCCGAGCAGCAGCTCGTTATCATCAGATTCCAGTTTACCGACTGATCACGGACCTGTCAACATTTGGAGGGCAGAACCATATTTGTATGAGCAGAATCCCACAGCTTTCTCCAAGGATGTAATAACTAAAGGAGTTTTTAAGAAAACTACTGTTCCCGAGCTAGTATTTCTAAGAGGTTGTAGTCCTTCTTTTGTCCTGGGAGATATATTCAGGTCTTCTGCTCAGGTTCTTGGAAAGGGAACATTTGGGACTTCATACAGTGTAACACTAGATAATGGAAATAAAGTCGTGGTAAAGAAACTGAAGGACGTAATCCTTAGTAAACGAGAATTTGAGCAGCAGCTGGAGATATTTGGAAGCATAAGGCACGAAAACGTGGTAGTGCCAATAGCTTATTATTTTTCCAGAGATGCGTTCATGATTTATGACTATCAAAGTCAAGGGAGTTTATCTGCTCTGCTACATGGTATGCAGAACGTTCTAACTTATGTATAATTTGAGTCGGTCTTGATGCTTATGGCTTGATCATATTTTTCTATGCCGTTAAAAGTAAAATGATAGTCATGTTTGATATGATTCGTATAAGCATTCAGTACCCTCTCAGACCTCTAACTTGCGAAGATGCACTCGTGATAATTTGGTTTCTATTTTGAAGATGTGAGAATTATTGATGCCTTAATCCCCCTATGCAGGAAACACAGTTGAAAACCAGCCAGACTGGGAAACACGTCTAAGAATTGCAAAAGGTACAGCAAGAGGTATTGCCCATATACACACACGACATCGCGGTAGGCTTGTCCATGGAAACATAAAAGCCTCGAACATTTTTCTCAACTCCCAAAAATATGGTTGTGTTTCTGATTTTGGCTTGGGAAGCGCGGAAGTAGTACCAGTTGTAATGTGCACTACTGGATACCGTGCCCCGGAAGTGACAATTGCGGGGAAGGTTTCTCAAGCGTCTGATGTCTACAGCTTTGGAGTCTTGCTGCTTGAACTTCTCACTGGAAAATCCCCCATGAATGCAATCGGTGTTAAAAAGGTAGATTTAGTCAAATGGGTTCTTTTCTTGTTAGGTAAGGACAGGAGACTTGAAGTGTTCAAAGGTTTGGCTCTGCGTTTCCCTAATGAAGTGGAAGAGATGGGGAAGATGTTACGAGTGGCAATGAGTTGTGTGGCAGATAGTCCACACCATAGACCTAAAATGCCCGATGTGTTGAAAATGGTAGAGGACTTGTAAAAGTTCTGATGCAATGGCCTGCTAAAATAAGCCAAGCTCCAGCTCACGTGAAGATTGGATTCAGTTTTGGCAAATGCTATTGTGCACCTGTTGTGCTTTGTTAAGTTGTTTCAACTGTTTTTATTCTTGATTGTATTGCACATGTAATTGTTTTTTTCTTTACAACTAAGGAAGTTTCAAACCCATAGGCATATATTCCGATACAATAACATTTCGCTTGAACTTTATTTGGTGCGTGCATACTATTTTGTATTAATTTTCATTCATGTGGAAGATTGTTGAAAATTGATTCAAAATTGTTGTTTTAGACCAACATTGATCAATTGGTTAAGCGAGACCCGTTAGTTGATTATGGGAGTTTCAATTTGTATTTTTGGATGAAAATTTTAGACAAACGTTGTTATGAAATGACACTTGTTTTGAAATTTGTCATGTTATAACAATTGTGCCTTTTGAAACACAACTCTCCGACAATTATACATAGGCTTTCCCTTTTGCAGTTTACTAACTTATAGAAAGAGCTCTTCCTTTCAGTTTTCACTATCACTTTTTCATGTAATCTGGATTTAAGTGGTTTGTTTAACTACTTTATTTTGAGTATGCCTTTATATATATTCATAAAGTAATTTATTCGTCTTCTTCAAAGACGGTCGATTTTATATGAAACAGAGTTCAGTTGACTCGGATAAACGTCAATTTTGATTCTATAACAAATCTATTCTGATCAATTTCAATGCTACTGTAATCTAAAAGAATACTATTTATTATTGAACCCGAGCCCCATTATTTGACTAAGAACACATTTTGTACTAATAAATTAATTGATAGAGAATGTGTGGTTCAAAAATAATGAAAAGTTTTTTATTTACATTTAATATTATTTTATTAAAGAATTTGAAAAGAAGAGAGAGAAAAATATATTTTGAAAATAAAGTCTTTTTAATTAAAAATATAATAAATAAATTCTCTCCTTTTTGTAGTTGGGTCTTACAAGATTTTTGTATTCATTCTTATCTCCATAAAAATTTCAAATCCCTCATTTGAGTTCAGCTTTTCAATATAATAAGAAGGTGAATTTTTCGGCAAAAGAAAGTCTATACTATTTTATCAAATCATATTGACTTGGAAAATTAGATCATGCTTGTATAATTGTAGTTATGCATTGGGTACATTTGATACACCGTATTTAATAACAGGATATCATTAGGGAAAATACGATTAGAGTAAATTAAGCCGGATTATAGTGTGTTGCTGTTATATGACTTTTGTTACGTATTGAAAAATAATATATTTTATATGTAACTTTTCTTATTTATAAACAAATTTTTACTTATAAATTTTAATTTTTACTCATAAGTTATTTCTCTAGTCATTAGAAATTTTTTACTTGTAATTGAATTACTCAAGATTCATTTAATTTGAGTATTAATTACACCAAATTCCGTATCACATTAATGATGGGAAACTTTAATAACTACAGGTTAAGAATACAATTTCAAAATTAATAAACTTATAAAAAACTTTCAAAAATAAGGTAATACTCCATTTGTCCCATTTATATAGGCTCACTTTTCTTATTTTACTGTCCCATTTATATAGTCATGTTTCTATTGAGAAAGTATTTATTTTGTTCGTTTATTAATATTCTCTTATTTGCTTTGCCTAGTTATAACAAATTCCTCTTACTTCATCTTGAAATTGTACGGAATTTAATTTACTTATAGGAATTATCCAAATACATACACATTTCCAACTTCTTGGAAACATAGACAAAAACAATATTATTTGCTACCACCAAGAATAATTGAATCATTCAATTTCTGTACCGCTTTCAACAATAATTTAATCATCATTATTTACTACTGTTGGATTTTAATACCCAATATATCCCAAACTATAATGTAAAACTTTGGAATATAATTTCGTAGGTATCGGTCTATGGTGAATTGATTACCAACAACCAAATCCAAATGTTCGACCCAAAAACAACATGGACCATTCGAAATAACTTAAGAAATTAATGTTATTCACAACCCATATATTTATCTATTAGATGACTTTTAATCTTAACCCCTTTATTGGTCCAACTAAAGCTTAAAATATTTATATCTCTTCTATATAAAAAGTGGCTATCTAACAGAATTTATTGGTTTAACGAAAAAACTAACGAAAATTTCTTGATTTAACGGAAGAACTAACAGAAGGGGTTTTTTTTTTGACAGAAAAATCTTTTTTCACCATTTTTATTAATTAATTTATTTTAAATAAATATAAATGGCAAAAAGCATTGACTACTAATTATAAACTTTCAAACTTCCAACCTAATTGACAGGCCCAGGAAGCATATGAATCGTTTGTTGGCCCATTTATTTATAGGAAAAACTTATTGTGCTTCATCTGTAGAATTCCGATGTGGGATCAACTTTTTCTATGTTACTGTGCAAGCAAGCCGTAAGCATTAATCGTCTCTTGCTAAGCTAGAAGAATGGAGAATATTCTCGCCTCCCTCTCTCTTCTCTTAGGGCTCTTGGCAGATTATCTCTCAGGCTCGATTCTCTTGCATTGAAGGATCGACGATTGAAACCGCTTCGAAGATATGTTCAAATTCTGGTATTCATTCAATTTCCACACAGTCCTCTCAATGTATGTCTCGGTGACTCTCGGATAGTGTCCTTTCTTTATTTTTGTTTTATTAAATGAAATCAGTTCAGCTTCATCAATTTATTCTTGAAATGCAATTTATTTGATTCAAAGGAGTAGTGCAGTTGCTGGGCTAAATTTGAAAGAATTAAAATGTGATTTTGCTATTGATTTGATGGCCGCTGGATCCGCCGGAGTCTTCAATATCTTCAGGCGCGGCAGGCCAGCTTGCAGAACGGAAACCAGAAGGCAGACGCCGCAGACCCTGAAGCGAAGAAGGAGATGATTGTGGTTTGGGTTTGGGCCTAATTTTTTATTTTTAGTTTAGCCATGTTTTG